TGGACAGTAGCAGCTGTCAGCGTTTGCCGCATTACGTATAAGTCATCTTAGTGTGTCCAATATTGCTATTTTGGTAAGTACAAAGTTGGCAGTACATCTAGAGTAACTGTGAAAGTTGGATTCAGAAAAAAAAAACATATTTTTCATTTCAGACTAAAAAAAAGAGAGAAGAAAAAAAAAGAACAGCCGGTCTCGTCCCCCTTCCCCAGATAGATGGTCGGCCTTATGGGCCGGGTTGTGGAAATGAAGTGTTACTTGCTTGTGGGATACCCTCCCCAAGATTCTAGATGCACATAGTCGTTGCCTCTCCGACCTTATCGGCTTCCTCGCCGCCGGCCAAATCCAAATGCGTCTGGCGACGGCGACCGAGGCTCCCATTCCCCATAGCAGAGGAGATTGCGGGGCATTGCGACGACAGCAGCGAGGCACGCATGGTCAGTTGCCATCTCCCCTTTCCACCGACAATTATTAAGTTATTTACCTTTTTTGCCCTAAATTACATGCAACAATTACTTTTTCTTGATTTTGGTGGCATTCTGTCGATTCGATACAGAATCCTTTTGTTATCTTATTTTTGATGGTATCGACACAAAGAGTAGGGTAGTGCTCTAAAACTGCAGACGCTAGTACCTTCCTTGCACCCGCCATTGATCAGTTCATGCCGACAGATGGTCTTGAATGAATAATACTAGTTCCTGCCTGCCCCGTGGTAATAAACTAGACCTAGCTGAAAGATCTCAGGGAAATTTCACTGCATCTCTCACCAACTAGGTGCCTTACCTAATTACTCCCTCCGTTCCATAATGTAAGACATTTTCTAACACTATCACAGGTGCCGACTTAATTATGATGTAAATTGTATGTATTCAAACAAGGTAATGTTACTTCCTGCCTGCCCCAAAGGTAGAGTAATAAAACTAGACTTATCTAATCTCAAGGAAAGTACCATGCATCTCTCATCAACTAGTTGCCTACCTAATTATGATGTAAATGTTTATGTATTCAAACAAGACTTGCAAGCTAGACGAGCGCAAGTCATTCTTGTTAACAAGGCAGCAGTTGCATCAAATATTAATTGATTTGTCATATAGCCTAAGAGCTAGCTAGACAACACGCCACATATCGATGGAGGACTTAATCAATCCTTGCCAGTTCATTGAATCTGCACCACGCAAAAACCGCAGTGCATGTGGTTAGATGGATAAGAACGAGGCACACAATTAATCAGTCATCGGCCGACAGGCCAGCCGGGCTTAAACAACACATAACATACTTTAGGGTTGAGTTGCTATCACCCTGCTGTTATCCAGCTCGATCTGAGTGCGACGGCAAATCCTAAAATCGATCTAGCTTGCATCACCCGGCTTTTGAATGGTAGTCGAGCTCTTGCTGTAGAAAAGAACAGTCTTTTGCTTCAGGAATCAGGGTAGACTGACTCAACACCAGGGGTGAGTAATCTTCTTCATAGCAAACCCCATTCTTTCATTTCTCCCGGACTACTCTTTTTATCACTTTGAATGACGGATAGATAGCCTCAGTTAGAAAGTTTCTTCAGCTATTTTCTGGCAAAACACGAGGTTACAAATATATGCACACAAAAAAGGGCAGAATCAGCCAGGTGTACAGCAATAATTGTTGGGCAGGTCAGAGTGCCGTAGACACCACTTCACTAATCAAGACACTAATTAAGCTTAGATCAGTGCTGATGTATCTTCAAGACAACCATACATATTTTTGGAGGGTACCTCTTGAGCTCATACAAAGCTAAAAATATAACGTACCTAATGTACATTACATCTGGTTTGTCCTGCTTATCGTCATATCTTCCATGTTTATTTTATAAAGCAGCAAGTTGAACAATATATTAACCATTCTCTCGCATGCTGCAGAGGGCTTTCATAATCATTGAGATTTGTATGTTTTTTTAGCAAGGGGAATATTAATTCCCAAGGCTGTTCAGTCTGAATGCGACCGCACACCTAATCACAATGTTGTAGAAAATCGTTTATATTTCTTGTGAATTATAAAGGTCCTAGTGTTGCCACTAACCGATCATGTGTTATAATTACAATGTCGATGTAAGATAAAAAACTAAGTATATATAAAACATAAATGTACAATATATATATAGATTCTCTTATTTATTGTCATATCCTATGTAGGAACACATTCTTCCATGTGGACTTACACCATGAACCTTTATTTTCTATTTTATAGAGCGTCAAGTTGAGCAATTCTACTTTGTTTTTAATGGAACAATTGAACAATAGTTTAAGCATCCTCTCTGTTGATGCAGAGGGTTTTCTCAGTCATTGAGATTTCTTAAAAACCATGAAAAACAAATAAAATGCCGAAAGTTGCTGAATATTAATGTGATCAAACACTTGCTTACAATTCTATCAAATGTTAACTGTATTTCATGCAATTTACAAGGTTCTGGTATTTCCATCAACTTGAGATGGGTTTTACTCCCTCTCTAGTGTCTTACATTATGGGATGCAGGGGTTAATTTCTTCTCCTCATGTTATGAAGTAACCATGCTCTGAGATGATCTACATATATTAAACAAGACTGAGACCGGCCGGCTGGTTCTTTCTGCTGGCATGGTTATCCATGAAATATACAAAGTTTTTCTTTGGATACAGGGCAGCTTTTATTAATTCAAAATGTTGCATCAAGCGATACAAGCACATTGAGCACACATCCGGCCTCGATAAACTTAAATGTCTAAGTATATATATATATATGCGCTTTGTCCTATTTATTGTCTTATCTTTTGTAGGAACACAACCTTCCATGTGGACGTATGCCACAAGCCTTTGTATCAAGTTTCTAGATCAGCAAGTTGAGCAGTACTATTTTTTTGTATGGAGCAGTTAAACAATACTTTAAGCATTCTCTCCTGCGCTGCAGATGGTTTTCTCAATCATTGAGATTTTTTAACATTTTTTTTTTGGAAATAACCATATGTGACACAAAACTCACCATCAACGATAGTAAAATACCCAAAATCTGTTGAATGTGAATGCAATCGAACACCTAATTGCAATGTTATCAACTTGATTGTATGGCAGTCGGCGAGATAGGTAGTATGCAAGCCGTGTAAGCAAAAAAAATGATGTGACAAGTAATTAAAAAGGAGAGAGATAAATAGAGTAACATAATATGTTGCCATCACATAGCGGTTCCCGATGCCAGATGAGTCTACGAAATAATAAATGAAGTGGTGTATAACACTACACATATTACTACTCACTATAAAGGTAATAACATAGACTAGTACTCCCTTCGTCCAAAAATACTTGTTGGAGAAATGAATGTATCTAAATATATATTAGTTTTAGATACATTCATTTTTTATCTATTTCTACGACAAGTATTTCTAGACGAAGGAAGCAGTAACATATGCATGTTACTAGTCTAAGTTACTCCCTAGTAAGACCAGCCTCAAAAGATTAAGCGCAGCTGTTTGCTAGTATTATTACGTTCAAGTTGAATCCTAGATCCGCCCCTCTGCTACTTATGTCTTCCATCTTGATTACCTTCTTGAAACTGCCAGATCGATCTAATTTTCCAATTGAATCCTTATGACCACGTTACTCTTACTACAAGCCATATGGTGCAGGCTCTCCTTTGGTTCCAATATAAGAGCGTTTAGATCAATATTACTCCCTCCGTCTCATAATATAAGAGCGTTTTTGGCATTAGTGTAGTGCCAAAAATGCTCTCATATTATGGGACGGAGGGAGTAGTTTATAGAGGGAGTACTTAATTAGGCCGGCCCGTCCAATACATCTGCCTGCCACTGTTATTACTCCGTTCCCGTCAACTTCCACCCAGCTCCGCCACTGCCTTTTGCCTTTGCCGGAGAGCACCTGGTGCTACAACCAGCTACTCTGCCTCCTGCGGCTGCTATACCTCCACGGGGGTGAGACGCTCCGGAGGAGAAGCATAGCTGCTGCGCACTGAGGCGGCGTGCTGGCGGAGGAGCAAAACTGCTGCTCGCGGTGGCCGAGTTCCGGAGGAGGAGGTGAGCTCTTGCTTCCAGGTGCGACACGTCGGACGAGGATCTGAGCTGCTGCTCCTGGAGGTGACGCGCTAGCTAAATCGTCAACCCAACCTCTCCTCTCCATCGCCGCCACGCTGACCCCAAGATCTCTTCTCGACATCGGTGTCGTCCATCCATCTCAGAGGTTGGTGAGTCAGTTCAAGTGTGGTTTATCTCTCTTCACACAGCTAACTAAGCTTGCTCTGTTTGAAATTGACATTACCTCGCTATTGCAGAAAAATTAACCAGCAACAATGGCGATGGTGCTGGATGCATTTGCGTCCTACCTGGTGGACATGCTCACGCAGGCAGCAACAGATGAGGTGAAGACGATGTTGGGTGTCTCCGGCGAGATCGACAAGATGGGAGACAAGCTTCGGGACCTCAAGAACTTCCTGGCCGATGCCGATAGGAGGAACATCACTGATGAGACTATTCGGGAGTGGGTGGGGCTGCTCAAGCGTGCCATGTACGAAGCTACTGATATCCTTGACCTCTGCCAGCTCAAGGCCATGGAGCATGGACCATCCTTGGTAAACGCAGGGTGTTTCAATCCCTTGCTCTTCTGCATGAGGAACCCCTTCCATGCTCGTGAGATCAGCACCCGCATCAAGACGCTCAATCGGAGGCTTGACGATATAAAGGAACGGAGCACTGCTTTCAACTTTATCAATCTTGGGTCCTATGAGGATCATTGCAGCAACATCCATGCCTCTCACCATGGTAATCCAAGCCAGGAGAAGGTAGGGGACTTTGACCGGTCGGCTATTGTTGGAGACAAGGTCGAGGAAGACACAAGAGCACTGGTGACCCAAATCATGCAGACGCGAAAGGATGTCAACAATAGCATCAAGGTGGTTGCTATCGTAGGTGTTGGTGGGATCGGCAAGACCACCCTCGCCCAGAAGGTCTTCAATGATGAGGCAATCCAAGGTGAATTCAGCAAAAAGATATGGTTGAGCGTCAACCACATGTTGATCTGCTGAGAAGGGCCATCATTGAAGCTGGAGGAGATGCCCAACCGCCGGAAAGTGCAAAGACCAGCCTTCATGAAACCCTCAAGAACACATTGATTGACCACAAGACCTTTTTGGTAATGGATGATGTGTGGAACCATAGAGCATGGGATGACGTGCTGAAAATACCCTTAGTTAATGTTGCTGCTTCAGGCAGCCGAGTCCTTGTCACTACCAGAGATGAAGGTGTTGCCCGAGGGATGAGAGCTATATGGCCGTACCACCATGTCGACACATTAGTGCCTGAGGATGCTTGGTCATTGCTCAAGAAGCAGGTCTTTTCTTAATTAAACTCTAATATCTTTCATTATCTTCATCTACTTACTAACATTACTATGTAGTTAATTACTCCCTCCATCCGGGTTTATTAGGCCCCATTGTATTTTGTGCTAAAGTTTCACTTGCAAATTTAACTAATAAAATGTAAACTATATGTCACAAAAATTATATTGTTGGAAAGCTCTTTCAAACACAAATATAATGGTGTAATTTTTGTATCATGTAATTTATATATTTTAATAATATAGATGGTCAAAATCTGGCACAAAATACAAGGGGGCCTAATAAACCCGGACGGAGGTAGTACAAGAAATGTTAGAATTCTCCCAAATTAATGAGCCATTAATTATTACATGTAATTTAGTGACTTCTATGTACTATTATCTCTTGGAGATAAGAGGTTGTCAGTAATTTTGTAAGGCTAAGATTACTTTGCAAGTGCCAACAAAGCATGGTGCCAAACAAGGAAATATGCCACAAAACTATTGAGATACATTGAAAGACACCTAGATTTTGCTTATTCAAGCTTGAGAAATAATTAAGAATTTGGATAATTATATATGTATCATGTTTACCTGTGTCGTATATTCATGTAGTAAGTAACCTTTTGTGAATATCTAGTCTCGTTTTCCAACATATGGGATGAAGATCTAAGTGCGCAACCACTCAACAGTGTCATAGGACATTATATATATGAAAAGTTATTTCAAGACAGAATAATAATAATTTCGGTGAACCCCTGACAGTACAACAAAAGAATATAGCACCAAAATAACTAGACTAGAAGTTGGCAGGAATTTTGCTAAAAAATTTGCATGCAAATTTACTAATTAATGTTTGGCGTAGTATTATGCATTTTAGAGACTTGAGAGATAAGATAATTTCTTGTTATCATACAATATGAAAATGAATAAAACATATGATTTCTCCTAAATTTGGAGTTACTTCCTATAAACAGAGATGAGAGAGTAGTGTCCAAGTATATTCTTCCAGCAGTGTGTTCCATCTTGTAAAATGAAAGGGAAATAAAAAATGTTATCTACGCATAAAGTATGTAAGTTACATGTGGAAGCCACTGCAGAAATCTTCGGTATGTCGGAGAAAGATAAGTAAATACTAAATAAATTAATAACCATTCTTTTTGGCATGCACTTCCTGTACATAACCAAACATACCTTGATAAATGGATAGATACATCAACTAGTCCTCTTAAGAGGTATCCCCCCGTAAACTAATATAGGATGCTTTAGATCACAATAGTTTACAGACGAAGTAAAACTGAGTGCCTTAGAGGATCTTGGTACATATTTAATTAAATGTATTGGTCCCTTGTATTGTATGTTCGCAGGTATGCTCAACTGAGATAGATGAAGATCACATCAATACGCTAAAGGATATCGGACTGAAAATTATACAGAAATGTGGTTGTTTACCAATTGCTATTAAAGTGATGGGAGGACTCTTGCGTGAAAGAGAGGGGCTACGTCGTGACTGGCAGCATGTTTTGGATGATTCTAAATGGTCAACAACTAAAATGCCCAATGATCTCAACCACACAGTATACTTAAGCTATGAATATATGCCTTCTTACCTGAAGCAGTGCTTTTTATACTATTCTTTTCTTCCTAAAAGTAGAAATTTTCATATGGAGCAAGTCGTGGCAATGTGGATAAGCGAAGGATTTATTCATGGAAACTCCGGTGATTTAGAAGAACTGGGAAGAAATTACTACAAGGAGTTAGTATCTAGGAACCTTATAGAGCCAGATAAATCGTATGTTGAATTATCGGTTTGCCACATGCATGATGTTGTTCGTTCATTTTCTCAGTATATGACTAAAGATGAAGCACTCGTAGCTAAAGACGGAGACAATGATATTATTGCTAAACTTGGTTCACAAAAGTTTCTTCGGTTGTCCATAGAAACTAGCGAATCACAGTCAGTTGAACTTGATTGGAAATTACTACAGGTGCATCAATCAGCAAGAACATTGATCTCAACAATCCAGATTAAGATGATGCCTGGTGATTCATTGGTTACTTTTTCTAGTTTGCGAGCTCTGCATATAGAATCTGCAGATATGGTTGTATTGCTTGAATCGTTGCATCAACTCAAGCACCTGAGGTATCTAGCACTAGTAAATGCTGATATATCTGTACTTCCGGGGAACATTGGCCAGATCAAACTGTTGCAATTCCTTGACCTTTTCGGATGTACAAAATTGGTGAGTCTTCCTCATAGCATTGTGAAGCTTGACCAGCTGAGGTTACTTTCACTTCCCCAAGCAAGTATGGTACCTAGAGGGTTTAGTGGTCTGACAAATATGAGGAGACTAAATATATTTCGAGCACACATGGATGGTGATTGGGGTAGTTTGGATGAGTTGGGGCCTATTTCTCAACTCAGAGTTCTTGAATTAACCGAATTAGAGAATGTATCTGCTGCCTCATTTGCTGCTAACGCTAGGATCGGTGAGAAGATGCACCTTATCAGGCTATACCTAAACTGCACTAGTAAACTGGGAGATGATGGGTTAGTCAATGAGAAGGAAAGTGTCTCTGAGGAAGAGCAGCAACGAATTGAAAAGGTTTTCGATAAGCTCTGCCCTCCACATGGTGTAGAATATCTTCATATCTACGGGTATTTTGCCCGGCAACTTCCGAGATGGATGATGTCCACATCAATGGTGCCCCTTGACAACTTGAAGACTATATTTTTTTATGATCTTGCTTGTTGCACACAACTTCCCAATGGGCTCTGCCAGCTGCCTAGTCTGCACTTTCTACAGGTCTCTCGTGCTCCATGCATCAAACATGTAGGGACTGAATTCATGCAGGTGGGGGCAGCCTCATTTCCAAGGTTAAACAAATTGATCTTCATCGGAATGGTGGAATGGGAGGAGTGGGAGTGGGAGGAGCGAGTACAAGCCATGCCTCGCTTGGAGGAGCTTGTGCTCAATAAATGCAGACTGAGGCATGTTCCTCCAGGCCTTGCCTCCAATGCAATCTCTTTGAAAATATTATGTCTAGAACATGTCAAGAACCTTAGCTACATTGAGAGATTTCCTTCTGTGGTTGAGCTTACAGTTAATGACTGCCCCAACCTGAAGAGGATCACCAATCTCCCAAATGTGCAGAAGGTTGCCATCATGAACTGCCCAAAGTTGAAGGTGCTAGAGTGTACCGCTTCCCTCGAGAGGCTAGTCCTGAAGGATTACACCATCGAAAAACTTCCAGAATACATGCGAGACATTAAGCTAAGGCATTTGCAGTTATTCTGCAGACTATGGTTGCTCTCTGCGGTAGCCGCGGGACAATCTGGCATCAAGTGGGACAAGTTCAGCCATGTGGAGCATGCCAAGGCATATGCAGCTGAAGGAAACAACCCAAGAAAATGGTACATCTTGTACACGAGAAGAGACAACTACGAGTTGGATTCAAATATTAGCCGATCTAATGTGTTTAAAGGTAAAATTATAGATATGAAATTTGCATTAATTTGTTTGGGCACTTTGTATCTATCAGTTTATAAGTTCATTTCATTTTATTCCCCGCCTTTCAACCATATATTTGTAGTGCGTGGTGACTAAATATATTTTATACGCAACATGCAACTAATTAAGTTAAGTTTTAGCCATGCAACTGTACATGTGGATTCTTCAACTTATGGCTATCATTTCTGATTTGGTTGCACTCCCTTTTTAATTACTTGTTCTCCTAGGTTACTAGGTTACCTTGAGTCCAACAGACCTAGAGCAGTAATCAGGGACGGAACTGCACCCGGGGCAGACTGGGCCTAGCTAGTATAGGTATCCCTCACCAACAATTTGATCAAGGCTTTGATCAATCATCCAGCCACTAGTATGCAAGTGCATCAGTTTGCCACTTTGCATTGGCATGGTCGTGAGATACTAGCACTAATTGATGCTCTGCTCTCAGGATTAATTGATTTTCTCCAATTTGAGTACATAGAAATAGAAGATGAAATGGATAATGGGGTTGAGTGCATTTTGATACATGCCCATGTCATCTTAATTTCATCAGCATTTGTGGTGGTGTTATTTGGGGTGGGTGGTTATAATTTGTCGACGTTTTTTCGCTGCTACGGTTCACGCCTGGTCATGCCCAAATCATGGGTCCGCCTCTAAGAGTGATATATGTTTGCTCTTGCCTTGCTAATTATAGATTGTGTATAACTAGTTCTTTGTTTTTCTATCCATGCAGAAACCTTGTCTTCTTCTATGGTGGACGCACAAGGATTTGAGTATGTGTACAAAATGAGAAGAAGTACCTTCAATTACGTCTGCTGCTTGGTGAAGATCCCACTTTTTGAAGATATGATGGCAAAAAATCACACCTTTGCTGACGGGAAAGTGTTGTCTTTACAAGATGTTGTGGCTATTGCTCTGAGAATGCTGAACTCTGGTGAGCCATCTGAGACTGTAGGATCCTCTCTTGGTGTGAATGAGTCAACTGTCTCTCTGGTAACTCGGATGTTTGTTGAGGCTATGTGCCAGCGAGCAATGCACCACTTGGGCTGGCCAGGCTCTGCCAAAATGGAGAAGATCAAACGCAAGTTCGACAAGCTCCATAGCCTGCCAAACTGCTGCGGTGTTGTACATACAACTCATATCACGTTTGGATCACAAGACCGTGGCCATGAGGAGAACGGCAACATCCTACTGCAAGCCATTGTTGATCCAGATATGAGGCTCACAAACATTTGGTGGAACCTATCAGGTAGCATGAACCAGTTGATCATTTTGCAGGACTCCAGTCTCTTCAAGTCCTGCGAGAGGGGTACTGGGTTGAATGGTAGCAAGCTGAAGGTATCATCTCGTGGTGGATTAGAAGTCGGCGAGTACATCATTGGTGATGCAGGACATCCTCTTCGACCTTGGCTCCTCTCACACCTTACCGGATAGAGAATGACCGCTCACTCTCAGACTCCAAAGTGGAATTTAACAGGAGACACTCTGCAGCTACAGTCGTTGCGCTGAGGGCGTTGGCAGGTTTTAAAGACACATGGAAGTGCCTGCAGGGAGAAGGTTGGCATCCAAGTAATAAACATGAAATGTTCTCGACAATCAAAACGTGCTGGATGTTGCATAACATAGTGATAGATATGGATGAGGAGGAAGAGGAGGAGGAGCATGCAGGCATGCCGAGCGATCAGGAGTACAGCAAGCAAGTGCGGCAGGTAGCAGACGAGGACGCCGTCGGGGTGAGGGATGCACTGTCCCAGCACATAATCGAATCTAGAGGTAAAATAACGCAACTTTTAATGTATTTTTTCAGATTAGTGTTTTATCTATTCGCTATATTTGTTTCATCAATACCCTATTGGTTCCATCGATCTTAATTTGCTCTGCTTGGTCAGTCCTCACAGTGGCCGCAGAGGAGGAACAAGAAGCAGCAGCAGTTGCATCTAGTTCAGGAGATGGAAACAAGGAACAGGAAGAGCACCGACAACGAAAAGCAAATCGAGGAAAGGAGAAAGTGGATGATAGCTAGCTATGGAGGTCAGAAGACGCCCCCCCTCCACTTAGTGATTTTGGTATATATTGTTTCTCTGATATTAACAGTTCTTCAAGTCGCAGTTCTCTTCCTAATTCCTTCTTCTGCTATGACACTGCTTAATTCATGTCAGTGGGAACCATTATATCCTTTGGTGATACATTAAACTACTTGGAAAGAAACTAACTCCATGAATACTTGCATCTATTAGCAACATCTGGCAACTATATATTTTCTTCCTGTATTGGCTATATAATGCTTTGATTGTCCATTCGCTCAATAACACTGCATGATCTGGACAATCAAGCTAGCAGATTTATAGTACTAGTATATATACTTTGACAATGGGAAACCTTGATATTAGAAACTCCACATGAAGTGTCGGTCATGTCTCTCATGTACTTATAAACTTATGTGAGCAGGTGGAAGGTGACGAGGGAGGTCCAATCCAGCCACACCAAGAGTTCAGCTTGCACCAGGCAGCTAGCCCATATGAGATATACTGTATCTCTAGTTATCCCTACTAGTGAAGAGTATTACTCCCTCCGTCCCATAATGTAAGACTTTTTTGACACTAGTAGTGTCAAAAAACGTCTTACATTATGGGACGGAGGGAGTAGTTTAGAAGTACGAATTTGGATATAGAAAGGTTCGTCCCGAAGAAGGTTTTCCTGCTGTTTCCAAATTCAGTTAAGCTTTCTTTTACTTCAAGTTGTAATTGGAGACAGAGTGTAATTGGCTTTATAAGCCCGCCCTAGTTGTACTGAGAAAACATTTTAATAATGTAGCGCAATGGAGACAGAGTGTTATGTGAATTATATTCTTTCAGCTGGTTTGCCGCAACCTGAAGAATCTCTAACGACAATGGCTGTGAGTTGAGCCTTGGATTTTTTAATATGGTTTGGGCATCATCCAATTGTAGCACCTGTTACCTCTGACCGTGTTCTAGACATGCCATTCTAATTAATGTGTTTGAAGTCGCTTATTACTACTTAGAGAAGAATAGAAGAATCGAGATGACAGCATATCTACTGTGCTCGTGACAGTTCAAGCGCAGCGCGGAGTAAGTCCATAGTGTTTCTGTTTGTGACAGTTGAAGCTCAACAGAGTTGCATTCACCTGAATGGAAGAAAATCCAGGGTTCCGTTTTGTACCCTGGCAACTGCAGAGTGATTTTATTTTTTTATTTTTTTTTGCGATGGAACTGCAGAGTGATTGCATGAATGATTTGTACAATCTATCTGTGATGTCTATGGGAAGTGTTTCTGCCCATCGTGCATATACTGGATGGGATGGATAGCGTTGTACCAACATGATCT